AGTCAGACGATGTATATAATATTGATATAAAAAAGAAAAAAAAAAAAGGAAAAGAAAGCAAGATTTTTCTAATCTTATTAAAATCCAATAAAAAAAAAAATGAAAAGATTACACACCTCCTCGTTAATTAAAGTAAACGTTGGGATCTCATTTCTAGAAAAATCGTGTCGTTGAAAAAAAAAAAAGTAAATATAAAAAGAGAATGAGATGGTACAAAAAAAAGGTGACACAAAAAAAGAAAGAGAAAAAGAAGAAAGAAGATGATAGGCAAACGAGATAGAGAGAGAGAGAGAGAGAACCGACTTATGGTGAAACGACCCTCGATGGAGAGACTATGGTTTTTTTATGGCCATTTAACGATACTTCCCCCGTTATCTCCATCCCTCTCTCTCTCTCTCTCTCTCTCTCTTGTGCTCTCTTTCTCTCTTTTTTGCTCTCTTGTTCTGTTCTTCTTCCTTCAACTTCCAACGTATTTCCCTTTAAAGCAACGCCTCGAAATTCGTCGAAAGTAGGCCATTGAGATTCTAGTTAACGATGCTATCGGTATAAGGCAGTTGCCTTGGCTTGCTAATGTTCTCCTTAATACATCCCGTCTATAATTCATGTAGAAACATTCGTCAACTTCATCTCCAAGGATCGACGTCTTTATCGACCTCCAGTTTTTTTTTCTTCTTCTTCTTCCGTCCTTCTTTTCCTTCTACTTTTTTTCTCTTTCATTTTTTCTTCCTCTTATTTTTTTCTCATCTTCTTCTTCTTTTTCTTCTTTTTTTTCTTTTGATCTTTTACCACTCCAGACAGAAACTTCTATTATTATTCAAATCAACGTTCGCATGGACTTTTTCGCTGGCAATCGATACGTAAAAATTGCAATTTCCAAGGGTTGCTTCTTCCTCATCCTTTCCACCACCCACTCCAGCCTTCACCCATCTTCGTTCATTCTTGTCTCGTTTCTTAGATTTTTTTTCTTTTTTTTTTTTCTCTGTACTTCTTCTTTTATTTGTCTCTTTTTTTTATTGTTATATTGTTGAAAGAATGAGATGGAAAAAAGTAGAGAGATAGTAGCCAACTTGACGGTGTACCTTCGTGCGTGACTAACGAGAAACTCGAGAGGTAAATATCTTCTATATGATTATTTATCGTTGAGCTTTAAATATCTTTACGTTAACGGTAAAAGAGGATATAATAAGTTTTTAAATGATTATTAAAGATTTAAATTAGATTTGTAATAATAATAATTTAAATCCTCCTTTTTTTTCTTCTATATGGATTTTATTATGAAATATTATTATTTAGATGAAAAATTTCAGTAATGTAGTTTTAAACTCGAGAATAATTTAAATTAAAGAAAATTATTTTTAATATCTTATACGAAAGAAAAAAATAATGAGTTTAAATGATCATTAAAGATTTTAATTAGATTTGTAATCATTTAAAATCACCTTTTTTTCTTCTATATGACTTTTTTATTGAATATAATTCTATAGAATATGAACATTTGAATGGTGTAGTTTAAATGAAGATTAATTTAAATTAAAGAAAATTATCTTTAATATCTTATACGAACGAAAGAAATAATGAGTTTAAATGATTATTAAATATTTAAATTAGATTTTTTCTAATTTTTTTGATACTTTTGTCTTACAATTATTCATACAATAAAACTTTTTACATGAAATTTTATTTGAAATCAATTAAATTAATAAAAACCAAAATTGTCGATAAACCCGACATGTGAGTAATAACGTCTATAATGTAAATATTTATTTATTAAATATTTTCATATATATTGTTAGATTATAAAGCAACCAAATTACAATTAAACGTTTAGTATCAAAATCAAAATAACACAGTTAACAATAATTATAATAATAATAATTAAATAAATATCACGTAAAGTAAATATCGAAACGTTAGATATAAATGTAAACATTTTCATAATAATACAAAAATTATTGATACGTATTTCTATAAAATTCTCTTTAAAAAGAATAATAAATAAAAAAGTAAAAATATTTCAATAAAATATCGTAATATATATTATATCGTAAAATAATATATGTTTGTGATGAAATGATCATGACAATAATATATTCAAACTATTTGTGATATATTAAATATTTATCTTAAAAAAATAATAATTAAAATCCTTATTTGAATAAAATCATTGATTATCTTAGAACAGTAGTAGTTGACAAAATGATTAAGATAATAATATATCGAAGGTATACAGAGTAGATGTATATTAAGTAATTCACGAAGCATTTAGAAGACAAGAGACAAGTTAACGTATACGTACGTCTACACAAACGTATTGTAGATGTCTATGTAACATGTTCTCTTGTGTCTCCAACAGTCTGCATGATTTCTCCTTGTATCGCGTAACGTATCTGTCAACGTGCTACAACGGTGACTAACGTGTGCTTTGCGTGTGCGATAGTATGCAAATACTACTCTTGTTACGCGTTTCTCCTCTCGTAGTACAATCGTAAGAGAGATAGATATACAGATAAACAGAGATAGAAAATAACGTATAGAGATAGAGAAAGAGAAATAGATAGAGAAGTTCAACCTAAGATTACTTAGATAGATTCGCCCATTTTGGAGACATCAGAAACACTGAAACGAAATTCGAAGACGATGAAACTGAAAGGAATACAATCGAGAGGTACGAACATCCTTAACATGAATCTATTTTGCGGAAACGAGAAAGATAAAGAAAAAAATGGAGAAAGAAAGGGGAAAATTGAGGGTAAAGGGAGAGAGAGAGAGAGAGAGAGAGAGAGAGAGAGAGAGAGAGAGAGAGTAAGAAATTTCAATCTCACTGGCGAATTTCGTTGTTAAGTTTACCAAGACGCTTCTAATCCACATTATACTTGATTTTGCCAGAGGTGGTGTTGCTGCTACTACTGCTACAGCTACTGCTGTTGCCAGTTGCATCAAAGAAACTCATAGTAAATTACTTTGATATGGTATAGTCGCTATTGTCACGTACAAAATACCTTTGGAAAAGATTTTCTATCTCTTTCTCTCTCTATCTATTTATCTATCTGTTTATCTATCTATCTGCGTGTGTGTATTTAAGAATGTAAACGTTAATGTTTACGTATAATTGATCGAAATTTTGTTGAATGATCTAAAAGATTTTAATGAAAATTAATATTCGTAATACAAAAAAAATTTTTTTAATATATTTTCTTTTATATCTTCGTTTAAATTTCGTTTTAGTTTTATGTTAGGTTTAATTTAAATTACAACGAACATTTTGTTAGAAAGAAAGGTAAAATCAATTGTTAATGTTTGTTGAAATTTTTATTGAAAAATGCAGTAGAATTATTTTTTTTTATTTATTTCATATATTCGCAAAATCGATATTTACTTATGTAATTCATTATTTCTAACTATTACAGAAAATAGAAAAAAATATAACTTCAATTTATTTCTGTTTTTACTTTCTATACAAACTTGATACATTTAATATCTTCGACTTAATCAAAATTTCTGAATAAACCAAAACCCTATTAAATAAAACAATTTAAGTACTACATTAATTCAACAGAATACACAATGTTCTCTTTGCATTTTCCTCTATACCAAATTTAATATTAATATTCTTAAGATAATTGAAATTTGTTAAGAAAGGAAAAACAAAAGATGAAACCTAAAATATTGAAAATATTTCATACATAGAACAATATTGTATCTTTCAATTCAAATATAATTCACGAGTTAAAAATTCAAACTTCTTAAAAAAACATTCCATAAAATAGATATTTTGGTATTCGTGTTTAAATGTTCGAAAGGAACTTGTAAAACTAAAAAAAAAAATATAAAAACAAGAAAAAGAAATAAAGAGAGAGAGAGAGAGAAAAGGAAACTAGTCATCGTTAAAGATTGGAGATAGAGTAAATAGCTACAATATACGAGTACATAAAAGTCGAAGTGAAAAAGGATATATCGTAGGAAGAGGGTTGCATCTGCGTTGTCGATCCTGGTGGTTGGAATTTGTGAAGGAAAAAGGAAAAAGAAAAAGAAGGAAAAGGAAAGAGAGAGAAGGAAGTAGAAGGGTGGAAGGAAGGAAGGGAGTATGGGAGGGTGAAGGTTCAACGGGGAACAAGCCCTGCTCGTGAACTCGCTTTAAACTCGGTGCCAATGGGAATCCGATAAAGAGCCCGAGGCGAACGTTCCTTTCTCCATCGTATTACAAGCATCTTCCGAAGGAGCTTTTCCACGCCGAGCTTTTCCCCTAAGCACGCGTGGTTCTCTATCTTACAATTCGAGACGAGACACACTCTACGATAAAAGATAGATAAATAGATAGATAGATAAATAGATAGATAGTTATAAATAAAAATATTTTTTCTTTCATATTTTTTATTTTTTATTCCTTCCACAAAGAACAGAAATATATATAATATATATGGTCTGGGAAAAAATGAGATTCATTATATTAATGCGTTTATTTTGACGTAATTATATTCATTATTTTAACGTTAAACTGAAAGTTATAATATAATTGATTTCTTTTTACCAGAGAGAGAGAGAGAGAGAGAGAGAGAGAGAGAGAACAATATTTTTATATTATATGTATTAACGTGAAAGAATATCAATATATACATATATTCTTTTTCTATTTTGTTCTTCCTTTCTAGAGATAGAGAGATCGTGTTCAATTTTGAAAGAAAGGCCTGAAGGTTCAACAACTTGTTCTAGAAAATTCTAAAGCCTGCGGTTAGTTTCCGATAGTTCTAAACATTTTATTCTCTTTCTTCTTTTCTTTTTTATAATATAAAATATAATAATAATAAAAAAGAAGGATTCAATGGTAATTGTTGAATGTAAATTTATATAGGTAAATATTATTATACATATATATGAATTAGTAATTAGTTTGATCTTTATCTATATAAATATTTAATAAATGAATTACGTTGAATAATTTCTATTTATGAGTTTTAGAATATACTCTGAAGATTAGGTTTATATATATGCAAGTGTCTCACCCTTGTCACGATGATGGCTGTCTACGATTAGCTAATCAACTCTCTCGAATCCTTTAAATCCTCTAGATTTCTTGCACTTCATACACTTGGAGAATTCGGTAACACGACTGTCTCTGAAACATAATAATCAAAAAGATAAAATATATGTTCGATCTTCCAAATAATCAAATCAATATTTTTAAATTTAAAAAATGTTAAAGATAACAAAATTAATTACATTTATCATAAATATTTAAAAAATTTTCTAGAAATATTACTACAAATAATAAATAATATTTTAACAGTTTAGTAGCTAATTTTCAAAATTTTTATTGTATGTTTTCCAAAACTTCGGAAAGTCTTGATTATAAAAAATAATTTCCACGACATTTATTAAACTTTATCAAAAAATTCGCGAACCTACGAATTCGCGCTATTGCCAATTCGTAACTTACTTTCTTTTTCATAGGAATGTTCTAAACAAATAAAATAAAATAAAAGAAAAGCAAAGAAGAAGGGAAAAAAGTAAAAAGAAAACAAGTTACGATAGGAAGAAAAGAAAAAGTTATTTTTTCTTCTTGGCATTCAAATTACGCGCATACTTCATAGAAAAAAGGGACAAACAAATCCTGGAGCCCGTAATCTAGGAGCCCTTTTAAATCCGCGCGAAAGTTGAAATTACTCGTTGTCTTCGTCCAATGAAAAAGTTGACTTTCGTTTAAGCGTAATGGCGGTTAGGTGGGTAAGTACACGCAGGGTAAGAAAGCAAACCACTGGATGCTCGTACTTCTGAAGAAAACTTTGTTAACTCACGACTGTATAAAATGCTTGACAAAAAATACACCGGGAAAGAGAGAAAGAGAGTAAGAAAAAGAGAAAGAGAGAAAGAGAGAGGGAAAGTAGGAAACGTACTTGATTCTGCATTTTCCGTATAATTGACTTTCACGAAGTGAAATCTTGTCCAGCAACTCCAAGGCTAGTGTTCTTTTCATTTTTAAAACGAAGACATCCTCTCTCTCTCTCTCTCTCTCTCTCTTTCATTTTCTCATTCTTTCTTTCTCATTCACTCTTTCTCATTTTCTTTTATTTTTCTGTTTCAGTAGGCGTTACTCGAAGAGTTGAAAGAAGAAGACTTGAATTATAAGGGTGCCACGATAAAATTAAACTTTAATAAACTTTCCAAGAGATAACCGGCCGTATGAATAACGCAATAAGAAACTTATCTCTCTCTCTCTCTCTCTCTCTCTCTCTAAAGTAAATAAGTATCTATATTTTACTCGGTATAATATTACATTAAAACGTAAGTACAAAAGACGACGAAGGAAGAGAGAGTGAAGGAGGAAAACTGATAGGGTTCGCATAATTAACATTCGAGATCCCACGTTTCTTCCTTCCAATCCCTTATTCAAATTGTGGGAGACAACAAAGGGACTCCTCTGGTGGACTTGCTTGGATGGTCCAAGGAATAGTGTTTTGCTACTGGTAAAGAAAGATAAGAAGAAAGAGAAAGAGAGATAGAGAGGGAAAAGAAGAGGGTTGAAAGAAGAGAAATGATAGATAAACAGACAGGGGGTAACAGAGTAAGTGAGTGAATGACTGAATGAGAAAGTGTATAAGTTAGAGAATAAGTGAGTGTATAAGTGAGTGAGCAAGAAAATAAATCAACGATTACTCTCCAATAAAGTTATAAGAAAAAGAATAAGTGAGAAAATATGTGAGTTAAAGTGAGAAAAAATGAGTTAGTATTACAGAGAAAGAGAGAGTGGGGGTGGGAGTTAATACTCAGTCAATGGAAGACGGGATCGAAAAAAAGGAGATCAGTTTTTAAGCTCATTGTGAATTGACTCGGCTTAAACTCGTCCATTCTGAAGGAGTTGTTATGAAATCTCGAATAAAACTAATGGTAAGTTTTTAATTTTTATTTGTTCAAAATCTTCTCGTTCGTTGGAGAATACTTTATCGTTGTCTATTTCATATTTTAATAATATTTATTCGTATATTTTTATTAACAGTTTTATTTGTACTTTGATCGACAATTCGATCGAAGGAACAAAATAGTAATCGAGAAACGTTCAAAGGAATACAATCCAAACTAAGATAGCAAACATTCTTCTCGTAGAATTGTTACTGGTATTTTTATTACTCCCATGTTCATTAATTCAATCCGACCTCGATCCCAACAATCGTTTCTCTGATACCCATGGGAAATGGAAGTGGATTGGTGACAAGAATAATAAAGGATGTTTTTGCTGGATACTTAAAAACGATTAAATCAACGTATAGAAAGGAAGATGAAGAAGGATCTTTCCAAGATAGATAGATACTACCATCCTTTATCAACATCCTGTGAACTTTGACGAGTATTTCTATTCAAGATCTCAATCAAGATATTCCAACATACGAATTCCGCCTTTGTGTAATCAAGAAACGTTTTTGGCTTCTTCCTTTATTCTCCATAGACATCTAACTTCCTTTGCATCCTTCTACGAAATTACAGAAAGTATCCAACTATGATTATAATATATGCGCATTCGTTATAAGCCCCCCCCCATCTTCGCTTCGATAAATCTTTTAAATCGAAGAACACGAATTTAAAAAATTTCCTATTCTCCTTAAAATTATTTTATAGATCAAATTTTTGCAACAAACAAATCATATGAAAATATATTAGAAATCTTTATTTTTAAAAAGTTTGTTTTTTAATTGACACCCGGTATATGAGTCGTTAATTTATCTGTCACCCTGTATATAAATCGATACTTTTCTTTAAAATGTATATGAAACAAAAACTTTTTTATCGAAATCCTTTACAATTTGGACACCCGGTATATAAATCGTTGCTTAATCACCCCTAATTGGTTACCTTTTAAATTGGTGAGGAAAATTTTTTTTTCGAATTTAATTCAATTTGAACACCCGGTATATAAAATGAATTTTTTCAATATGACTACCCTTTATATTGTCTTGGTACCTGACCTATATTATTTCTTGGAATCGGTGAATGACCTGTATTAACTCGCGAAAGACGTATGTTCGGTTAAAGTGTGAATGTAAATACAAATATGAATGAACTAATGACCTACATAAATTCTTGGAAATACTATTTACTATCTTCCATTGATTACTGGTCAATGAACTGAAGGAAAATGTTAAATCAATTTAAGCGATTTTTAAGAACGCGTATCTTCCGAACAGATTATCGTAGAAACTTTAAACGACTATCGTTTTAATCGTCAAACTCTAAGCTAAATGATGATGTTGTTTAGTGAACTGGAAAAATCATTTATAATGTTTAAAAAAATATAAGAAAGCTGAATTATAGTTTTCTGTGCATTTATCCATGTATAATATACGTTTAATTATTGTTAGGATGTGATCAATAACGAGTTCGTTTGTATATGATGAATGAGAGTTAATTGAGAAGAGGGTAATTAATTATTTGGATTAATAATTATGCATATAAAATAAATACGAGGTGTTGATGATGATGATGATGATGATGATGGTGATGATGATGATGATGATATGTTATGTTTGTATCGATACTTCTGTGATCGAGGCTTTTGCGGTATATGATATGGTATGATTTATGATGTTTATTTTCCATCCAATGATATATTTATTCGTATTAATTATACACATACGCGAATGATAGAATAATAATGTAAAAAGTATAAATTTTAAAAGTATAAAATATCTTTATAAATAATTTTAAATAATTTTATGAAATCGATTATAATATGTGCAATAATAAATAATGAAAGAAAAAATACATATATAATAGTGTCTAAATAAAAGAAAATAATATAAAAGAAAAAGTTTAAGATTAAAATGTAAACTATTAAATATACCCAATCATTTACGTAGGGTAATAACATGTGAGAAAATAGTGTAGAGCTCCCTAGTTGTATCGTACTCGTTACTACCTAAGGGCTTGACCCTCGTTAGAAGCATTAGAAGGATACGTACATACATATATACGTATATACATACATACATAGTAGAAGACAAGTTAGGTTTGACGAGACACCTTAGTTGTACTCGAGTCACGTGCTTCGATGGATTTTGCATGTTTGACCTGAGGCTACGTCGAGGTACGTTTCAGATCGACAAGACTGATTGTTAGATGGATCGAAATACGAAAGACAATGACAGAGAAAATGAGAGATAGAATATGTGTGTGTGTGTGAGAGAGAGAGAGAGAGAGAGAGAGAGAGAGAGAGAGAGAGATAGTAAAGGAACATTGTCATTCGTTGCAGGTTTAGTACAATCAAGCGTTGTCCTTCATTTCTCTTTCTCCCTTTATCATGATTCCTGTCTGTCTGTCGTTAATAATAAGTATTATTGACTTTATAACCAGGACACATTATATGTAGAAAGGTTTTCTCGATATAGTTCATTGTATGATGTATAAACGTTTAACACGTTGTTGCCTTTGACATAGCCATTGTTATTCGTCCCTTCTTTCTATTATTAACAGGTGAGAGAAAGATATGAGTACCACTTCAATATGTTATGTATATTATTACATTTATGTATATTATTTTATACGTATATCGTATTACACACTTTAGTTGTATTATAACATCAGGTAACAAACAATTGCATTCTAATCGTATTCTAAAATTGAACTAACAGAATAACTAAACAAGTAATTAAAAATTGCAAGCATCGAAATTTTTTACGAAAGTATGTTTAATTAAAAATAAGTAGTATAGTAATACAGATAAATGATAAAATGTGTTAAACGATTGTAAAAGAAAATTGTATAAAGGAAAATACTTTATCAATAAATTTTGTTGTTATTGAAAAAAGTTTGATATCGTAATATCATACCACTTCATTCTATTTAACAGATTGATTCAACAGGCACACCTGTCTCTCTCTCTCTCTCTCTCTCTCAGTACTTTATAAAGATATATTTGAAAATTAAAAAAAGAAAAAAAAATGTGTGCGAATGTATTAGAAGATAAAAAAAAAATGTTAATTAAATTTCTCGAAAGCGTTTCGACTTTTTCTTCTCACTTTTTTCTATTTTAAATCGTACTCTGACACGAGGATCGATAGTAACTCGATAAATCGATTAAACAAAAGGAATTCGATAATTCGAGACTGAAGAAACATTGTCGTTGTA